GTCCAGTTTCCTCATTTGGATGATCCAGCAGTGGCGGAAATGCTTGTGCTTAGGGAAGTTATTATTTGGTGTGTGGAGCAAGGGTTGTCGGCGGTCCATTTTGAGGGCGATGCGAAGGTGATTATTGACAAAATTAATCAAGCCGATACAAGAGATAGCCGGTTGGGTGCAGTTCTGGAAGAGATTGTTCATTATTTTCCTACTCAGCCTGGTTTTAGTGTGCGTTTTGTAGGTCGGGATAACAATAGGGTAGCTCATTTGGTAGCTAGGAAAGCCCTTTCTTTGTATCCGACTATGAGTCGCTTCTTTGATTTCCAGACCTGGCTGGATTCCAGGGTGTAATTGTCTATGATTTTGATGAATATATGATATCTTTTGACAAAAAAAAAACTTGTAAGTAATCGTGACTTGGAGAAAATAGTCGATCGTTTTTTACAAACGGTCGATCAGATCCATACTTACTTAATTGTAGTGAAAAATAACGATGGACTGCTTAAATAGGCGATCGATCGGTTTCTCATTACCTTCAATGTTGTAATATGATTCTACCACTATAAAAGTTTCTCTGTTGCAACAAAACTCCACCATTAAAAGAAAAAAAAAATCAGGTCGATCATTACTTTATCGGTATTGGTACACCGTTTAACCACTAAATGTTTCAGAACTAAACATTGATTGAGCTCTTGTGGGAACTTCCATTTGTAGTGGATACTTGGATTTGGATACTCAATCTTGACTTTACCATAAGTCAGGTAAGTGTTTAGAGGAATCCAAACTGAAGTTGCTAAGAGTTTGGATAAACTCGAATCATTTATCCTTTTCTTTATATCATTTATCACTCCCTAAACAATGAAATTTTTTATTTATATCAATTCACCCCAAAACTGTAAACACTAGCTTTGATCTAAGACATGTAGGATACAGATCCATTTGTGAGACATTCCAGCTCCCCTACGTGGTCATAGGAGATTTTAACACTACTCTTCATGAGAGTGAAAAGGATGGGGGGAATGCCTGGAATTCGTCGCAAGCTCTTAGCCTTCGTGATTTCATTCAGGACCTTGGTCTCCACGATCCTGGGTATCAGGGGGACCAATTCACCTGGACGAATAAGAGGATGGGTGGAGCTTGTATTCGTGAAAGGCTAGACCGGGCTTTATGCTCTCATAATTGGATTGATCGATTCCCGGATACGCTGGTGAAACACTTCACAGATCAAGGGTCTGATCACCGTGCCATTCTTCTTGCTGATAAATTGTACACCCGGCATTCTCGCCCTTTGTTCCGATTTGATGCTCAATGGGCAGAAAATCCGGAGGTGAGGGCGATGGTAAACTATGTATGGCAAGAAGAAATTTATGGGTCGCCGATGTTCAAGCTTTGGGAGCGTTTGAAGAAGCTCCGACATCTTCTGTATGATTGGAGTAGGGCGGGTACCACGAACTCACTACGCAACATTCATACGCTCCAAGCTGAAATTGAGAGGATCAAACTTTCTCATCCTATTGATTGGGATACAATCCGCACTCTGGAGCTAGAGCTGACCCGACAATGGGAGGCTGAGGAGGTGTATTGGCAGCAAAAGTCTAGAGTTCATTGGCTGAAAAAGGGTGATAAGAACACTTCTTATTTCCATACTGTGACTAGATCTCGGCGGAAAAAGAACTTTGTGGCAGGCCTCCGCAATGATAATGGGGACTGGGTCACAGAGGAGGCCGGGAAGGCTGACATTGCTTGTGGTTTTTACAAAACCCTTTTTACCTCTGAAACCCAGGTCGGAAATATGAGAGATAGATTTGCAGACTTACCCATTGACCAGAAAATAACGCCTGAAATGAATGCTAGCCTCACTGCGGAGGTCATGCCCGCGGAGGTAAGGAAAGTGGTGTTCTCTATGGGCTCAAAACAAGCCCCAGGATCCGATGGGTTTACGGGAAAGTTCTTTAAAGCCTTCTGGGATATCGTTGGCACCTCGGTGGTTGAGGCGGTCTGTTCTTTCTTTCGGACTAGTAGGCTGCTACGTAGCTTCAATCATACTTGGTTGACGTTGATTCCCAAAGTTGATAATGTGGAAACTATGAAGCAGCTGCGGCCGATAAGCCTCTGTCAGTTTGTGTACAAGATTATAACCAAGCTTATGGCTGAGAGGTTGGCTAGTCTCCTCCCGCAGGTTGTCTCCCGGGGCCAAAACGCTTTTATCAGGGAACGCCAAATAGTGGAGAACATTCTCCTCGGGCATGAACTAATGCATTATCTGAAAATCAAAACGAAAGGGAAGAAAGGGTACATGGCTCTGAAGGTTGACATGGAAAAGGCCTATGATAGAGTCGAATGGCCATTTCTCCTAGCAGTTTTGGAGAAGTTGGGTTTTAGTTCTACTTGGCGAGGATGGATTCTGGAGTGTCTCAAGTCCACTTCGTTCTCAGTTATGATGAATGGCACGCCAGCTGGCTACTTCACCCCGTCTAGGGGTCTGCGGCAGGGAGATCCTCTTTCTCCCCTTCTTTTTGTGCTTTGCACAGAGGGATTCGCGGCCCTTCTAGACAAGGCAATCTCGGAACGGAAACTTCAAGGGGTTAAAGTGGCTCCTCGGGCACCTCGCGTCTCCCACCTGTTTTTTGCAGACGATTCTTACCTGTTCCTCAGGGGGTCCCTAGAGGAATGTGAAAACCTGATGGAAGTATTGAATGAATACGAGGAATTAAGCGGCCAGCGGATTAACCTAGCCAAATCCGCGGTATGCTTTAGCAAAAACATAGCATTGCCTGATCAGGAGTTCTTGGCGCAGATTTTGGGGGTGGGGGCGGTTGGTGTCCATGATAAGTATCTGGGACTACCCACGTTGATTGCCCGATCTAAAATGGATACTTTTCGGTACCTAGAGGAAAAACTTCTTGAGCGTCTGCAAGGGTGGAAGCAAAGGACGTTGTCTTGGGCGGCTAAGGAGGTTATGATCAAATTGGTTGCCCTGGCACTCCCGTTACATGTCATGTCCTGTTTCAAACTTCCTCTTTCCCTATGTCGATTGTTGGATAAACATGTGGCTAGGTTTTGGTGGAATGTGGTGGAAGGTCACCCTAAAGTTAGATGGAAGTCATGGAGAAATATGTGTCGAAGCAAGCATGATGGGGGCATGGGGTTTCGCTGTTTTGAGCTATTCAACCAAGCCCTGCTTGCCAAAATTGGGTGGCAAATCATGTCTGATCCTCTATCCTTGTTAGCTCAAGTATATAAAGGAAAGTATTTCCCCTCTGGGACATTCCTGACGGCTACTGCTCGTTCCCGGCCGTCCTGGGGCTGGCAGAGTATTCTGTATGGCAGGCAATTGCTGGAACAAGGGGTAAGATGGCAGATCGGTAATGGCCGGGCTGCCTCTCTGCTTTCGTCTAACTGGGTGCCGTCCCTTCATCCGTCTCCCCCGCGTTATAACCCCGTGGTTCTGCCGGAGGAAGGAGACCTTCGGGTCGAGGCAGTGATTGTTCCTGGAGAAGGGCGGTGGGATGAGTCAATGCTCAGGCAGTGGTTTGACCCCCCTACCTGTCGTGCCATTATAAGCATTCCACTTCCTCGGCATAATATCGAGGATCATCTCGTGTGGAATGACACAGCTAATGGGGTTTTTACGGTAAAATCGGCTTATCACCTTGCGGTTAGGTTAAGGCAGCAGAGTCAGCGTTGTAAAGCTACGGTTAGTTGGATGGATAGGCCAAGCTGGATCCGATTATGGGAGGCCAACATACCACCTAAGCTCAAGGTGTTTGTTTGGCAAATTTTTAATCGGATTCTCCCCACTACTGAGGCCTTGCGGGATAAAGATGTGTTGGTCAACCCTAGATGCCCGGTTTGTTGGGGTGCTAAGGAAACCATGGAGCACTTGTTTCTGGATTGCCCAGTTGCTAGGGCGCTTTGGGATTACGCTGGGCTTGAGTATTTTGGTCAGGGGCTACCACGCCATACTTTCCCGCTTTTTCTTAAGCGTATGCTGGCCCTCATTCAGAACCCGGAGTTGGTTATGACTGTGATTGCTGTACTCTGGAGGATCTGGCGATCTCGTAATTGAGTTGTTTTTTAGGGCAAACAATTCGGGATCCCGGCCTTGCTGCGACAGCTATACCAACAGGTGGATGAGTGGTCGCGGGTGCCGGTCGAGCGGAGGAATCATGTTCGTGCTCCCGGACCCATGTCTACTACCAGTAGGATTGGCAGCCAGATTATTTGCATGTGGGATGGGGCAACAAGACTAGGGTCGCATTCGGCGGGAGGAGTAGTGGTGATGACCCCTTCTAGAGATATTTTGATGGCTCGAGGATTCCAATTCCAGGGCATTGATGACCCTATGGTGGTGGAGGTGCTGGCCTTGCGCGAGGCTTTCTGCTGGTGTCTAGCGTACGGGTTCTCGGAGGTTTGCTTTGAAGGGGACGCCAAGGTAGTCATTGATAAGATCAATAGTGCGGCGGTGGGGGATACTCGGATGGGGGAGGTTTTAGAGGAGGTGGTTTCGTGTTTTGCCTCGCATCCAGGTTTCCGTGTTCGATTTGTAGGTCGTTGTAACAATAGGGTAGCCCATTTGGTGGCTAGAAAGGCCCTTTCATTGTCTCCGACTGCGAGTCGTTTGTTTGATTTCCAGACCTGGCTGTGCTCCAGGATGTAACTATCTCTTTTGATTCTCTATATATGAATATCTTTTGTAAAAAAAAAAAAATCCACTAGTATGGAGTTTCAATAAGAGCTGCATAAACAATTTATATGATTAATCAACGGAGAAAAATAAAAGTTTGATGGGCCAAAATATCTAATTAACCAAGATGCAGTTCAAATAATTTAATGTTAATATTAAGTTGATCTTGTAAAGGTTTAAACCTCTTGTAATTAATTCATGTGATAAAAAAAGAAAGTCTTTTAGGGCAAACCATTCCTAGCCCAAAATTTTTAGTAATCCGAAAGTTAATTGTTTAATTGGCATCCATATCTATACCGGACCTATTCCGAAAGCGATTAAGCTTAATAAAAAAGAGATTCCTTTGTCTCCTTCTCCAAATTACTAAAAACCCAAAGGGGAAAAGCTTTTTGTTTATTCATTCATCAGCAAAAAATGGAAAAGAAACAACAAAATTAAAGGTACCGTCTCGCTTTCTTTCTCCGTCCGTCTCATCAATCAAGACATGAAATAAATAAACCCGTCTCCTTTCTCTCTCTCCCTCATCATCTCTTCCGCGAAATCAAAGCGAGGCAAACGAGAAATAAAGAAAACCCCACGAGAAAACCCTCCGCCGGCCAGAAATCGACGAATCCATCTTCTTCTTCTTCTTAATCTTCCCCCCGCTGGACCCGAGGTCGGATTTGCTGGAAACTCAAATGTTGCAGCTCTTCTTCGCGGTGGCGTTCTCGGCGGTGCCGTTGACGCTCTACATCCCGCCGATCCGCTCCCTAAACCTGTTCGTGGAGACGATCGAGGACATGCTCCGCCAGATGGCCGTCCATACTATCCGTACGTATCCTCGGATACGCCTCGCCTTCTCTCGCATCCTCAGCAACCTCCTCCGTCTCTCCAGGTAAACGAATTCAATCCCCCCCTCCGCCGCCCCTGGCCCTGCCAGCAACAGATCGGAAAAATGTCCGTTGACTAGAGGCCGGCCGTTCTTCGCTCTTGGATCGGGTTTTGTGGTTGTTGTTGCTGCTGCTTGTTGTTGTTGTTGTAAATACACTCTTGTGTAGCTATGTGACGGTAGAGATCGAATCGGTTCTTCAGCAGATTTTCCGTTCTCCCCCTCCGAATTTAGGTTTTGACCGATTAGATTGTGAAGAGATTTTCTTGTGATGGATTTTTGGTTTGTAATGTAATCTTTTCTGTATCATCTCTGATTGAGCAATAAATTAATTCGAAATCGAAATAAATGTGCTTTGACGTTTGAGGATCATCCTTCCTAGTCTTCTTCTTCTACCTTGTTGTATCAGTTGAATCATGTATCCATTATCGAGTTGACATGATTAAACTCACGAAGTTGCAGCTTCATCATCTCGATTATACTTTAAATCATTGTTAGTCTCAGCGATCTGATCTCCGTGAAACAACGCTAGTTCCTGAGATTCAAGCTCAAACAAGACAAATCTAGTGGGGCGGGTCGGTGACTCGATGAGCGGTTTTGATTAGTGAACGAATAGAATATGAACATGATTGATCGTAAAAATGGTTTCTTAGTTTGTTTGTTAGCATTAAGATAATCAGTGTTGGATTGGATTATGCAGGGGATTAGGCTGGCTGGTCTCAGAAAATTTATGGGTCTGGGTCCGGTTAGTGGTTCAACTTATACTGCTTGCTGTACATTGATGTACCAGTGAATACAAATGGATTCATTTTCTTTTGTCACACTCACAGGCCACAGCCAGCTTTCAAGGTCTGAACCCCACCCGATAACTAATTAGGTTGGGTCGACCTATCTGGCAAGAATAGAAAGGGGGTTTAGGTTTAATTGAATGAAGAGACGTATTATGGGGGTCGTTTGGATGCAGCTTTTTAAAATGAGGGATTTAAGACCCAAATCTCTCAATCAAAACTCTAGGAATTTAAAACGTGAGATTTTGCGTTTGGGAATGGATCAGGATTTTAGCCCAATCAATCCCAATTACACGATTACCGCTCTCCCTTCTTCTTCTTCTTCTTCTTCTCCGTTCCTTCGTCTCGGCTTCTGGCGGCTTTACGTCTTTTGTTGTTGTGCCGATTTTTGCAGCAAAGGGGAAATCCCCAAATCGACCCCTAACATACAATCCGAAAGTGCCGAGCTTCAATTGCAGAGCAATTTTTTTTTTTTTTTGCAGATCTACAATCGCCGACTTCGAACAAAGAACTCCTCGACGCCGGTGATTTGTCTTCTGATGAGCAGTTGGCGGGCGACGACTTAGTGGATGGGGTCTGCGAGAGTCGGGTGAACGAGGCACACCATCTTCTATGAAGAAGTAAGAGGAAGGAAGAAGTTGGGTCGGAGTTTGACGTCGTCGAAGAAACAGGGTGGAGAGGATGGGGACGAGATGGGAATAAGAAAGGGTTCACTGAATTGGGATGGGAAGGCGGCAATGTCGGTATAAGAGTTTTTGCTTGGATGCCGGAAGAAGGTGGCCGGAGCTTGAGTTCGCCGGAGAAAGACGATGGAGAAGATGAGGATGAACTGGGAAGAAGGAAGAGTGTTAGTTTGGAACAAGTTTGGAAGAGAACAAGGTTGGAACAAAGCTGGAAAAAAATGAGGGATTTCGAAATAGCTGATCCCATCAGCTATTTTAAAAACCTGCATTTGAGAGATTTTAAAATTACTAATGTCTAGAATCTCTCATATATCCAAACACATGATTGTTTTAAAATCCTGCATAATGAGAAATTGTTTTAAAATCTCTCATAAATCTCTCATTAGAAACCTCCATCCAAACGACCCCATGGTTTATTGGATGTGATTGATTTCTATATAAAAAGAAAGTGGGTCATTACCAGTGTTAAAAGTATCGAACTGGATCAGCAACCGGTTAGTAGAATCGTCAAACCAGTTTCAATAGTAATTCGATTCATTGATTTGGACAACTAAGAATGAACCGAACAGTTTTTTTCACAGTTGATCATAAAACCAGAAGAACCACCCAACTTAATTGATCACTGATTTACTCTTTTAACCACAGAAGAATTAAGAAGAAAAAGGTTTAATGTTCATGCTATCTGACTCGAACCAAGTCAAAGTAGAGCTTAAAACCGAAATGAAAGACATACTACTAGATCTAATTCATGATCACAGAAGGAAAGAACTAATCTAGCAACTGTCACGAAGAATGATCAAACGAAGCAACTCACCAACAATTAGAGCAACCTGTAAGGTAACATAAATAGGGTTTACACAACCTCGTATCAATGATATCATCATACCTACTAGCACACTCCAATTGGCAGTTTTCGAGCTTCGGCTTGTAGCTTATGAACTATGATGTAGCTTCACTCAGCAGGATTACTCAGACACTACCACCAAAACAACCCTAATTCCTGAACTCCAAACGAAACCAGCAGCTCGTCGAGGGACGATAAGCACTAAGAAACAGTTTCAAGTGGAGCTGGAGCAAGAATGAAGTGCTTACAGCACCAATATAGGAGTCCATATCTCCGATCGCAATGTAGCGGTACAACATACAAAACAAGAAGAAACATCATGATACAGGAACAAGGATACCAGAATTACATACATCATCACACATTATTGTGATAATACATACACTTGCACATACTACTGCATAGAAGCTCATACAGGACTATCGGGTCATGCCCCGTTCGACTACTGGAGGCAGACGACCCATCTCCACGTTCTGGTTCTTCCTCTCCACGTTCCCATGCCATCCTACACCAGTATTATACATACAATCACATTACGATTCACGACGACCTAAACACTTGTGTATGCAGCTTTACATGAAACCCAAGATTTACATAGGCAAAGAGCCAATTGGTTCTGGGGAAGTGACAGAGTCGGGGAGCTTACCAATGGACAGATCGAATCCGTGGTTCTTCAGCTCGCGATACTCCTGACATAAGGAGCAATACTCGCAGAAGCAGTGAACCAAACAATCGCCGCAGTGTGTGCCCTTGAGACCGTACTGCTGCCGCATTTTCGAGCGGTAGAAACAAGAAAAGCAACAGGGAAACCCAGTCACGCATGCTATCAGAGTGTAGAGTGCGCCATTCACACCACAAGCTGCAAAGGCAAACCACCACAAAACAACATTCAGACCAGAATCAATCAACTCTGCTTCTTCTCTTCTTCTCATTCTTCTGATTCACATAAAAGCCACATAAATGGGGAAAGAAGCTTAGCTTGCTGGCTCTCTATGTGGTTCATTTTTCACTTACCAGAGGATCCCATATCCACAATCTCGGCGACTTGGCCGAAGGTGACGCAGGGGCACCAGAACGTTATAAAGCCTGCCAATCAAACCCAGATCCGGAAACCCACCAACAACACAATTCGTGAGCTACCGGAGAAATTTGAAACTTGAAAGTTCCCCAAATCGAGCGGAATTGGGAAGATCTGAAACTTACAGTTGCGGCAATCGGAGAAGCAGTCGCAGAGTCCGGAGGACCAGTCGACCAATTCCTTGGGCTCGACATCGGAGCTGGTGCTGTAGAGGTGGCTGCCAGTGCCGCCGGTACTGTCTGTAAAGGTTGTGGTGGTGGTGGTTGAAGAATCCTTGGAGAAGATCGGCGGCGGAGTTGTTTTTCGGTCCGCCGCGGCGGGGGCGGAGGAGAACTTGTCGTAGGAATTGGGGTTGGAGGAGTACATGATGATGATGATCAAATTGTTGATTGGGAGCACCAGAAAGGAAAGGAGAAGAACGGAGATGATGCTCTTAGTAAGTCGGTCTTTGCGAGTAAGAAAAGGAGGGAGAAGGAGTCTAAGTGCTTATCGAAAGGAATAGTTGAAATGTCGGAGGAGCAAATGAAGACTTTTTAGCTAGCTAGTCAACGCCGCCGTTATTGAATAGTTAAAATAGAATCTCAGCCACAATCCAAGATGAAAATTCACAATTTTCTCATATTAACGTGAAATAAAATGGACGTTGGAATCTATCTCCATTTCTCTCAAGTCTCAAGTGCTCTCCATGTGTGTTGTCCTCTGAATATTTCTTTGCGAGTTCTGCACCATTTTCTTTGCTGTTTGAGGAACTTGAACTGAAGGCTCCATCTTATCAGACAAGTTCCGAATCCAATCCTGATCTTTCGCTAGCTCCATCAGCACCTTGATCCTCTTAAAAGAAACAAAACTTGGCTTCTGTCCCATCTCTACCATTTCCAAGAAACATTTCTCGGCTTCCACCAACTTCCCCATATCACAAAGCAAATCAAACAACACATCAGATACCAAACTGTAAGACCCAAAGCTCTTATCCACCATGTCACCCCCACAGCTTTAGTGCCAAGTCAACCCTCTCGTGCCTCCTAAACAACCGGATCAGGAACATACATGACTGTGTGTTAGGCAGGCAACAAGCATCCATCATTCTCAGATACAAGTTCCACGAACTGCGCAGGTCGTTCGACCAATAAAACACACGGAAGAACAAATTGTAAGTGGTGGAATTAGGATTCAGTTCCTTCCCCTCCATCTCATCCAACAAGTCATACGCATCACCAAGTCTCTTGGCAATGCAGTAGTTTCGGACAACAGCGTTATAAGCTGCAACATCTGGTTAACAACCGTATTCCCTCATCTCTTTCAGCACATCTCTGGCTTTGTCCGGCTGACCGATCAACCCTAACCCTCCAATGATGCTAGTATACGTTATAACATCCGGCGATATATCTTCATCCCTCATCTTTCCAATCATATCATATGCCTTCTTCATCTCCCTTCCCTTACAGTACACATCAATCAGACAATTGTAGGAAACCACATCAGGTTTCACACCCATTTCCTCCATTTCGCGGAAGAACGACTCCGCTTCCTCAGCAGACTTCCAACCGGACAAGAGTATGTTGAAGGTCTGCAAATTCGGGTTGAACTCGGTCTTCAACCTGTGGTAGACATTTCTAGCATCAGTCATGCTCTTCTCTTGACAAAGGGTTCTCAACAGAGCATTGAAACAAGTGGTATCGAACTCAGGAACCAACTTCTTGAACTTCCTAAACGACTCCACTGTCATCCTGACCGAACATAGCTTGGCGATTCTACCCAAAACCACTTGCACAGTCCGTGGAGATATCAAGTTCCTATCTTTCTTCTTAATCTCAACCAGAACATCCCAAATGTGATCGAATTTGCGGCTCCTCCCGAGAATGTAAAGCATGGTATCCAAAGAAAACTGTGAGTGATAAAACCCTCTTCTGTCACCTGTTAATTTGAAGAACTCGAGAGCACGGAGAGTGTTTCCATGGCTAAACCGGAACTTCTTCAGAACCTTATCGATTACATCGTTGGAAAGGAAAACCCCCGTCGCTTTCAATGATTGCCTAAGGTCATCAGACGATGCTACACTGTTAATGACGCGGTAAACGGCCTCGACACCGTCCTGATTCGACGAGCCGGCGGCGAGCGAAAAGCGGGCGAGAAGAAGCAGGCAACTCGCGGCGGCTCGGTGATCTTTTTGCAGAAAGGGAAGGGGAAATCTATGTGAAACGTACCTTGACTCTATTTGGAACGAGAGGGGAGACTTTATTACCATTTCAACGGTTTGTCTCGTCGGCTTTTGATCATGCTATAGCAGTAGTGTCTTTCGTCAGAGAGCATTGATTTCAGGACAACATAGTTGTAAGCCGCCGGGAAAACAGACAGCAGTAGGCGAATGGAGAAGGGAAGTGGCGTCCAAAGGTCGCTGCTGCTCGCTTTCCTTTGTTGTTTAGTGAATGAAAAGGATGGCCGGCCGGCCGGCCGGCGAAGGGTTAGGAATGGTGGGATCAGTGCCAGTGAAGAGGAGAGCAAGGTTTAGACTAGAGTAGGGGTTAATGAATAATATGACAAATTGGTCACCGTATTCCTCTAGATAGTAAACATTAGCCCCTGAACTTTTTAGATTTAATGTTAGAATGACTTGTTCCTTCTCAGATACTCTTCTTCCCTGCGGAAGTAGGAAAAAATCCCATAATACACTAATTATTAAAAAAAATTTCCAAAATACAGTACTTATAAAATTATTTCCCAAAATACAGCAGTTTGGTTATCACCGCTGCAAACCAAGACAGTGAAAGCAATCACCGTTTTGGTCCAAAACGGTGAAAGGATCATCGTTTTGGACCAAAACAGTGATGCTATCACTGTCTTGGACAAAAGTGATGATCCTTTCACCGTTTTGGACCAAAACGGTGATTGCATCACTGTCTTGGTTAAAAGCGATGAAAGCATCATCGCTTTCTACCAAAACGGTGATGCAATCACCGTTTTGGTTTAAAACGGTGAAAGGAGACCTTATCACCGCTGATGTGTAAAGCGATGATATCATCACTGATGTGTAAAGCGGTGATAATTGACACGTTTTACTGGCCTGGTAGGTGGAAATTAGGTCACAGCTACCAAGCAATCACCGCTGAGGACAATGGCGATGAACACATCACTGTTTTTGTCCAAGGCGGTGATTGCAAAAAAAAATTTCTATAAATACTGACCTCCACTTCCCCTATTGCTACTTTACAGAAAAATAGTACAAAAATTAGTGTTTTATTAGTCGTTTTCTCAGCTGGTTTGGAGTTGGTTTACTGCTCAAGAAACTCGTCGGGATTCGGTATGTTATAATTATGTAATGTTTACATGTTGATGTGTTAGTAATTTATATGTCTGTATTTAGTGAATTGCGGTTATTGGAAAATATGTTATGATATATTTAGATTAATTATGATATGATAGATGTTAGTTAATTAGTTATGAATTTAGATGAATTTGATTAGTTTTCTCATGATAGATCGGGAGTCGGTATGTTATAATTATGTATTGTTTACATGTTGATGTGTTAGTATTTATATGTCTGTATTTAGTGAATTGCGGTTATTGGAAAATATATTATGATATATTTAGATTAATTGTGATATGATAGTAGTGAATTAGTTATGAATTTAGATGAATTTGTTTAGTTTTCTCATGATAGATCAATTACATGCGTTTGTTTATGGGTTTGGATGATATTGTTTTTGTATCCCTAATGTACTAATTATATACTATACTTATTTATTATAAATTGCAGACATGGTTAAATTTAAGAAGTTTCGGCTTATTATTCGGTGGAATGGTCGGGTGACAAACTTGAACATTGGCATCGACTATGAAAATGGCAAATCCACTATGCTAAAAATTGAGTCGAGATTCTCGTGGCAAGAACTTCATGACATTTGTGCAGAAAGGACTTGTACGGGCGGGCAAATGAGAGTTGGTCAAATTGCCTACCGCTATCCAAACATGAGTGCTGGCGGAGTTGTGTACGAAAAAGTTGTCATAAACGATGATGACTCGGTGAACATGATGATACAGTTCCTATCTGACAATGGGTTGCGGCTTGCAGAGGTGTATGTCGAGACCGAGCCAGTCGGTGAAACTCATTCTCACCAGTATTCTTGTGATGATGGTTTTGCAGGAGGGTATGGCTGGGGTGGTAGTTCAAGTAACTACGAAGGAGGTAACTACGAAGGAGGTACTTCTGCAGGAGGGTATGGCTGGGGTGGTACTTCAAGCAACTACGGAGGAGGTAGTTATGAAGGAGGTGGTGGTTGGGAAGAATACGTGCAACCAACTGAGACGGCCGTCAATATCGTTCAGCCCGACGGTGATCAATGGCCTGCTTGGGGTCCAGAGTGGGCTGACATTGGGAACAACCTTCGATCTGGGCGTTCTTCGCATGACCAACAAGACGATGTTGGTTATGCTGGCAACGATGACCATCCTGAGTCGAGCTATCCATTCGCCTTTAGTGACGATGAAAGTGAGGAAGATTTGAGATCAGTCAGTGAGGAGGAAGATACGGACGAGATAGACGATATCGATGACAAAGAGGTGGCGTTCCGTCAGGCACCAACACCTTACTACACAGAGGTTCCTGATCAATTTTTATATGGTCAGAACGATGCCCCTGACTATAGGCCCATGCCTGTGTATAATCCGACTTCTCCTTTGGAAGTGGGTATGGCGTTCACTTCGAAAGCCGATGTGCAAGATGCTTTTAGCGAAGAAGCCATGCGCCGTAACTTCGAATGGAAGGTAAAATATTCTGACACCAAACAATTGCATGTCATTTGTAAGAATGCTGGACAGGGTTGTGAGTGGCAACTTCGGGCTGCATATATGAAGAGAAAGGGCGTATGGGTCATGCGAACAGTAGAGAACAACCACAGATGCTCCTCAACCATACTTTCACAGGATCACCGGCAACTGAAAGCAAAAAAGGTGGCGAGAACCATTAAGCACCTAATCGAGGCACAACCGGATATCAAGATAAAAGCTATTATGGCCGAGGTGAAGGATCGACATTCCTACACCATAAGGTATAAGAAGGCGTGGCATGGGAAGCAGAAGGCCATGGCTGAGGTCTACGGTGATTGGGATGACTCGTATGCTTTACTCCCTCGACTAATGTCCGCAATGGAGGAGTCCAACCCTGGGACGGTATTCGTGCCGTGGTACAACAACGTGCAAACTGAAGATCAAGTTCATGTACAGAACGAGTTGATGTTTCATCGTCTGTTCTAGACATTCAAACCATGCATTGACGGGTTTCCCTTCTGCATGCCAGTGATTCAGGTATATTACGGACTCAAAATATTGTACTAGTTCATTACCTTACTAACTAAAATTTTTAGTAACTAATTATTCATTTTTAACAGGTTGATGGAACTTTCCTTACTGGGAAGTATAAAGGAACTCTTCTCATTGCAACTGGGGTTGATGGAAATTTAAGTATTTTCCCCTTAGCATTTGCATTAGTTGAAGGGGAGAACAACTTAAGTTGGGCATGGTTCTTTGACCAGCTACACGCCCACGTCACACAAAGAATGGGTATTACAATTATATCGGATCGACATGCCGGGATTAAACACGCCGTCAATGGTTTTCCCGACGAATGGGGATGGACATGGCGCTGGTGTATTCGTCACTTCCTTGCCAATTTCCAACACAAATTTGGCAAGAAGAAAGACATAAGAGATCTGTTGGGCAGGTGACTCGGATCACACCACACTGAAGAGCTAAGGAGTCTCGCCAAGGTAAAGCGCGCAAGTCAAGCGCGCGAGTTAAACGCGCGAGCCAAGCACGCAGCCAAGCACGCGCGAGCCCTTGTCGAGAAGCTGTAGAAGCGGCACCGCCTCGCCCAATGAGTAGTCACCATCACAGTCCTAGGTGTAGTCCTAGGTATAGACATCCCTGTGTCAGAAGTTGTCACTTCATGGTCCTAAAAGTATGGCCTAAGTCTCTGACCTGTCAGTGATCACATCATGGTGATCCACTTGTAACCCAACCACTCACCCACCACCATGTAGCCTATAAATATGGCATTAACTCCGGTGGGTGAAGGGGATGAGATATTTCAGACTCTATCTCTAAAATCATCGACTTCTCTCTCCAGAAAATCTCTCTCTCAACCCTTCCTGTAATCTCCTTCATTCTTCTATCAACGATTAATTCCACGTTGCTTGCTCTCCTTGACCCATCTTACCGAGTCTCCCTCCTACACCCAGTTAGGCTCAAACAATTGGCGCCCACCGTGGGGCCAAGCAGAGAAGCAAAGAAAATCAATCTATGGCAGAACATAACTCCGACTCGCCTGACGAGTCAACCCCGATCAAGGCGATGACCAACCCAAGGGAATTCGCGGAAGCCAGCAATCTCAACGCGGTGCTCTTAGAAGAGGAAGAGCCCGAGCTCACAGCCAGAGAAATGAGACAGCTAGTGGCGAAGCAGAACGACGTCATAGCTAACATGCAAAAACAAATGAGCCAGGTCGTGGCGCTCATGATGAGCAGAGAGGCCGCGGCAACAGCTGGCGTGACACCATCCGCGCCGGCTGTCCTACCAGCGCACTCCGCGCACGAAGCGCAGCAAGTCGCGCTCCCCGTATGCGTGATACTAGTCGCGCCTCATCAAACCCACGGAGAAACGTCGGGGACGGTCCCGCCACCTCACCCCGTACATGAAACACAGCCGCCTGAGCTTCTAGGAAGGGCAGACCTCAGTTTTCTGGAGCAACACCTATCTCCGCAATTCCGATTCAACGCGCCCAAGAAGGCGCTCCACCAGCCGCTAAGCGCGGAAATCATGGCGGAACACCTGAGCGGAATGCCACCCACCCTCCCAACATACAACGGGACGACCGACCCCGAAGATCACGTGAGCACCTTCTGCTTACGGATGCAGCTCCAAACCAACTCCAACGCGGCGCTATGCCGCACCTTCCCGTCGACGTTTTCTGGGATATGCCTAGACTGGTATAACAGACTCCCAAACGGGATCATCCGCTCATTCGAGGAGTTCATACTCTTATTCACAACAAAATTCGCATCCCAGAAAAGAAGGCCCCTCCACCTCAAGGCGCTGGTAGATCTCGGACAAAAAGACGGGGAGAGTCTACGAGCGTTTTACGCCAGATGGTCCAGAGTAGCAATGGCAGTGCACGACCTCACTCCTGAAACCGCCGCGCATCACCTTATGGAAGCCACAACCAACATGGAACTCAAGCGGGAGCTAGCAAAAAGGCCCGTAACTCTATCAACAGAGTTGGAAATGAAGATTGAGAAGGCAATTACGCTCGAGGAAACCCTCGGAGCGGGATCTATTAGGCGTTTCGAGCCGGCCAAGTTGCCGCGAGAAGAACAGGGACGCCGGCAGCTCACGCTGCCACGGGATCAGCTAGCGCAGCTGCACAGCGGACATAAGCAACACCCCCCTCCCCCACAAGAGCAAGCGCAGCGGCGAAGATCACCAGACAGGCGCGCTCCCCACGCATTCACACCACTCAACGACTCCGTAAAGAACGTGTTCCACGTGCTACGGGAGAAGGGATACAAGCTCAATTGGCCCGCGCCCCTAAAGTCCTTGCCCCACATGAGAGATCCAAAGAAGAATTGCGACTTCCACAGAGCAACGGGGCACTGGACGGAGGATTGCCGAGAGCTGTGCTACGAGATAGAGGGCCTCGTGCGACGGGGATTGCTAACCGAGTTCACACACGAGAAAGAGAAGCAAGTTGGGGGACCTCAAAAACCGCCCCCGCCCCCGCAAGATGACTACAACGAGGCCACCGCAGACTATGTGGTGCGGAAAGAAATAGGGGTGGTGACGGTGGAAGGAGATCGCCCGAAAAAGAAAACCAAGCGCGAAAGAGCGATCGAATTCGCGGCAGCTGATGTACGAGTAGGGGGTCAACTGAGCTTCGATGACACCGAATTACCGCAAGGAGTTCCGTCGGAAGACCCGCTCATCATCACCGCCTTAGTGGCCGCCTGTAAAATTCACCGCCTCCTGATAGACGGGGGTGCCGCGGCAGATATACTCTTCCAAAGCACCATCGACAAGATGGACATCGTCCTGCGCTTAATCAAGCGCGCTCAGGGGAACCTGGTCGGCTTCTCCGGAGCGAGGGTGCCAGTAATTGGGGTGGTCACTCTCCCCGTGGTCATCGGTGACCAGGAGCCGCGCGTCTCGAAACAAATCGAGTTCACCATAGTCGACTGCAAATCGTCTCACAACGGCATCCTGGGCCGACCCTTCTTAGCGAAGTTCATGGCCCTCCCTTCCACGTGCCACCAAAAACTGAAGTTCCCTACCAAAACGGGAACCGGAGAAGCGCGCGGGACACCATGGGGAGCCCTGAAGCTAGAAGGAGAGCCCCGGCAAATGAACATTGTCGACACGAGGCCAGAGGAGCCCCGTCCGGAATCAATGGATTCCGACTTCGAGGTCGCGCTGGACCCAGCCGTGCCGACCAGAAAAATACGCATCTCGACTCACGTTCGCGATGACGCGATTGAGCCGCTGATTGCGCTATTAAAAGAATACGAGGAGCTGTTCGCCTGGTGCACTGAAGACATGCCAGGAGTGCCAAGGCATGTGGCCCAACATTGCCTCGCGGTCCCACCGAGCGCGATTCCAAGGCAACAAGCGCACCGGGGCTTTACGGGCGACAAGCTGAAAGCCATCGAGGAGGAGGTGGCGCGACTCTTGTCGGCAGGGTTGATTCGCCCGGTCAAATACCCAAAGTGGTTGGCGAATGTGGTCCTCGTAAAAAAATCTTCGGGCGCTTGGCGAATGTGCGTGGACTACACAACAATCAACAAGGTATGCCCGGGAGACCCCTACCCCCTGCCGCGCATCGACCAACTGATTGACGCCACCGCCGATCACGAGACACTGTCTTTCTTGGACATGTTCTCAGGGTACCATCAAATTCCGATGTCGCGCGAAGATGAAGAAAAGACAGCATTCATGACTCCCTTCGGAAACTTCTGTTTCGTCGGAATGCCGTTCGGACTGAAGAACGCGGGCGCGACATACCAAAGGATGATTGATTCGGTATTCTCACAACAGAGGGGGCGGAACATCGAGGCGTATGTGGACGACCTGATCGTCAAGACCAAGGTTGGCGGCTCGCACCTGGAAGACCTACGGGAGACATTTGAGGCGCTCCGCAAACACAGCCTCCGCTTAAACCCACTGAAGTGCGTCTTTGGAGCGGAAGCAGGGAAGTTTTTGGGGTTCATGATAACCAAGCGCGGCATCGAAGTGGACCCAAAACAAATCACGGCGGTCCAGCAACTGCGGGCCCCAAGGAGCGCGCTTGAAATCCAATCCCTGAATGGGAAGATAGCAGCGCTGGGTAGGTTCATCCCAAGGTCAGCTGACAAGTGCGCGCCCTTCTTCAAGACACTCAAAAGCGGCGCGAAATTCTCATGGAACAAAGAGTGTGAAGCAGCCTTCCAAGACCTGAAGGCATACCTTGTATCCCCCCCTGTGTTAACAGCTCCCAAGCTTAATGAAAAATTGTTCCTTTATCTGGCCGTGTCAACGAGAGCTGTAAGCGCAGTTCTGATATCCAGAAGAAGCGATAACACCGAGCAGCCTGTGTATTACACTTCACGCACGCTAATCAGCGCCGAAACGAGATACTCCCCAATAGAGAAAGCGGCCCTGGCATTGGTGAGCGCGTCGCAGAAGTTGCGTCCTTATTTCCAAGCGCACCAGATCACCGTCCTGACCAACCTCCCACTAAAGAAAATCCTGACTTCAATGGAGGTATCAGGGCGCATGGTGAAATGGGCGGTCGAACTCTCAGAGTACGACATCCAATATGCGCCAAGACCAGCAATAAAAGCCCAAATCCTAGCAGATTTCATCGCCGAAGGAGTCACGCTCGAAACCACACCAGAAGGAGTATGGGAAGTTTACGTCGACGGAGCGGCCAGTAAACACGGTGCTGGCGCGGGGGTCGTCGTGCGCACGCCAACAGTCGTCGTGCGCACGCTAATAGGCGTCGTTCACGAGATAGCTATCAGATTCAGAGCACTGAAGACAAATAACGCAGCTGAGTACGAGGCTATTCTGGCGGGACTGACCGCCGCCCACGATATGGGCGCGAGAACAATAAGGGTACTCTCTAACTCCTCGCTGGCGGTCAACCAGCTGAACGGAGCCTTCGACGCAAAAGAAGACACTCTGGCGCATTACATGGAGCGTGTCAAGCTGCGAGCAGCCAGCTTCGAGGCGGTAACCTACATGCAAATACCGAGAGAGGAAAACGTGCACGCTGACGCACTATCCAAGCTAGCAACTGCCACGGACTTTGAGGTCACTCGTCTCGTGTCGGTACAAAAGGAAGAGGAGGAAATTCGCCAAGAAGTGGCGATTAATACCACCCAACTCACGGGCGATGAGGATTGGAGAGCCCCAATTGTGCGGTATCTACGAGAGGGTACGGTACCGGAAGACGCTAAAGAGGCATGGACGTTAAGCCAAAAAGCGGCCCGATGCACACTCATTGAAGGAGAACTATACCGGCGGTCGTTCTCGGGTGTCTACCTGAAGTGCATCGGACAAGAGGAGGCACGTGACATGGTGCGCGATATACACGAGGGGTTGTGCGCAATGCACGCCGGCCCACGCAGCATGGAGCGTACCATCTTGCTCCACGGATACTACTGGCCGCGAATAAAAAAGGAC